TTTATTTGCTTTTTGTAGTTTATTAATTCAAGCACCAAAGGGTTGTGTGTTTTTTGAAACAATTTGCAAACGAATAACATTTTTTTAATAAAATGTTTTTTTACAAAAATTTAGTCTTGCACGCCCTTTCCCTGTAAAAAAGACTAAAAATTTTAACTTGCACACCTTGGGGAAGTCACTTTATATATAATTCATGTTATATTCAAGGCTGATAAATAAACACACTCAGTTTTATTTTACATGTTTTTGGTTATTATATATTATAAAGTATTTCTCAATTTTCCATGTGATTAACAATTCATAAGGTTCTAATCCAAAAATAAAATAATTATTATAATTAAATAATAACAAAAGTAATAGATCATTTTATTATATAAAAAACCATAACAACTTAATTAAAAAACTATAGTTAAACTTATAAATTTAATGAGTCAGCGTCTCATTAGTGCGCTGCAAAATGAACCAAACAAAATTGACCTTTTAGTCCATTCATGTCTTTCTGCCGATTACAATTACTTCTTCTCCTTATTCGATCAAATCTGTTTTGAAGTCAATCAAAACATTTATCCAACACAAACACTTCAAGCAAAATTATTGAATCAACTCTATCAACTCTTCCCTCTTTTTTATCGAAACCTCGGGTTTGTCTTGTCAACACAGGAATCGATAACACCAAAAATTGTATCATCTTTTCGACTCCTCCGAAGTCTTCCCCTGTCTTGTTACATCGACAAAGTGATATCAAAGTCAATACAAATCGTAGCGCAATTCTACTCGTCGAAAACAAACACTTTAGGACAACTGACTCAGGCAATAGAACCACTCGCATCATTTTTCCCAAGTGATTTCAATGAGGTTCTTCCTCTTATTTACCTCAAAAAGTGCTTTCCAGTGATGAACGAGTTGGTCACTTCTGATGAAACTTTTTTAATATGTCGAGATCTCCAAGTTTTGGCGTATGAAAACACGCAACTTGCGAAAGTGATTTTGACCCACGTCAAGAACGTGTTTGTGACATTCACGTTACAAGCATCGGAGAGCTTGCGGTTCATTTTTAACACAATGAGGAATTTATCGATCATCGACGGATCACTTGAGTTGTGCGATATATGTTTATCGGAGATATTAAAGCGGACACAACTCACCGTGAGCGACTTTCTAGCCTTTGTCGAGAACGTCAAGTTCCAGGAGAGTTGTTTTGAGTTTCAAACTTCTCAAAATGACGAACAAAAACTGTTTCAGCCACTCGACCAGAAGTACTATGGGAAAGTCCCCGTCAAATTAGTCAAAGCAATTTCCGTGTTATTTAAAAATGAGTTATTTGAGGAATATGAAAAGAGACTTGTCAATCGGTTGATCAACGCGAACTCTTCGGAGCTGGAGATGTATAACAAGACTAACACTTTTCTTCAGAAATACGTTTTTGACGACAATGTGGAAAACCCATGTCAAGTGATGTTTGCAGACGTTGATCGGTCGTTGCAGGAAATTTCACGAAATGCCATTTTCAGGCCATTGGTGATATCAAAGGAGTATTGGCCCGAACAACAAGACGTGTTTTTTAAAGACTGTAAAGAAGTCACTCTGTGGAAAGAAGACTCATCAAAGAAATTTAAAGAGCTCCACACACGTCAGAATATCACTTTTAAGCACTTGGGTAATGTATCTTTGAGATACACTAACTTGGACGGAGAGACTACCACACATGTTGTAACACCCTTACAAGCCACAGTCCTGATTAAAGTCTCAAAAGAACATAATGGGATTTTGGTGAATGAACTCGCACACGATATGGGTGTCAGTGCAAATTGTATAACTGACGCAATCGCATATTGGATGGACAACAAAGTGATAACAATGACAGAGTATTTTGGCAACTTCTTGCTCAAGAAAGAGTGAATGATTAGTTCAATGAATGAATTATAGAGTCTAATTCCATTTATAGTTTGTTTAATTATAATTTAACTATAATTATAAAGAGAGTTTAATTATAATTATAAATATAATTTGATTATTTAGAGGTTATTTACTATCGCATTTAAATAAAACAACCATTACTCTTTGTTATCTTTAAAAAACTTGTCGAGATGCTGTTGACACTCTTTCTCGAAGTTTTGTACCGAAAATCTTTCCGCTCTGATTCTGGCGTGTTTACTCATCACTTCTGCCGCTTTATCATCTGAAACTATTTTAAAAATGGCGTCTGCATATTCGTCGGGTGTTGATGCCAAATAACCTGACTCTTGATCGACTATATCTAACTTGGGCCCAGCACTATTATTGGCTATTGGAATGACTCCAAATCCCATGTACTCCACCACACAAATACCAAAATGTTCGTTGACCATTGTGTGTAGTCCAATTTTGGCATTTCTGAGATAGTCAAGCTTCTTCTCGTAATCGACATCACTGTCGATTGTGATGGATTCGGTCAAATCGTACTTCTTGATCAAACCGGAGATCTCTTCTTTCCGCTTGTTGTCCTCTTCGTCGCGCGTCCCTCCGATGATAACTAACTCGACTTTCCCAACTAAGTCGGGGTGCTTCTCAAACAGTAATTTCATGCACTCGACTTGTGTTTTTTGCTTCTTCTCTGGCCTGAACTGACCGATTGAGATCACCAAATTCTTTGTTTTTGGACATTCTTCGGACTTAAAGTCGCACGGCGGGAATAACAGAATTGGGTGAATTCCCCAGATCCTCTCGATGTGACTTTGAGTCCATGACCCATTCACAAATACTAGAGAGGGGATCTTACCAACAATCCAATAGAAGAACGCAAAGATCTTATAGTAATACAATTTGATTGTTGATAAGAGTGGACTTCTGGCAACCGTTTCATTGTTGTTAATAGCCGTTTCACGGTTTTCAACAACAGACAACATGTCTGAAGAGATGGTCGGGTAATGGGTATATGACAATACCTTCCCACCCGATAGAGCAGCGAAGAGATAAGTGAATGCACACCCAGTGGTATCAAAGAAGTACTCTGCATTACACTTAAGAAGTGCTTGGAAGACGCAAATGAGTGATCCGATAGCTTGGAAGAACAAAGTAAGGAAAGGGTACTTCTTAGTGACAAGGGGATAAGTCTTTCCAATGGAATAAAATGTGATTCGAGTGGCATCAAAGACTAATCCAAAGTTTTCTTTAACTCGTGCGAGAATCTTTTTCTTGTCTGGGTCACTCGCTGTGTATATCACAATGTCTAACTGTTGCGTCTCTAATAACACTTTAACTATTTCCCATAGAACCATCTCCCCTCCACCACTCGATGAACAATTCGGGTGGAAAAACGCTACAGTTTTCTTCTTCTTAAAAAGACGAAGAACAAGAAGTGTGATGATGATAACGGGAAGTAATATACAGAAAGATGTTATTATTACCATTCTAATAATAAAATTTAAAGTTCTTTTTTTCTATTTTATAACTATTAATTTATTTCGAATATTTTAATACAAATACAAATAACACATGTTCTGGATGTTTAATTTTATAATTTAATAAAGTATTAATTTGAATTAGAAATAATTTGTGAATTGATTAAAATGAATTAATATATTACATTGCTTTTTAATTTAACATTTTTATTTTTAAATTTTAAATATAGAACATTGTATTATAATAAAACTACATTAAGTAGTTTAAATCCCTCCAAAACAGATACAACAATTAAATAATACTCGTTAATTATTATTAAAAACTCATAACATCTCATAAATTAGTTCAAATGTGACATTTTGAGATTTATTTTTCGAAACCCTGGAGATTTTTTTTTGAGTGAAAGAAGAAACTGAATAACTTTTATTGGATTGAAGGATGAGTGACTACACGATCATCCAGAAGCAAATGAAAGAAGACCCACAGGCGTATGTTGACGATTTGAAGCAGTACTACGAGCACTTCAAATCGAGTTTTACGACGATGGTAGCGCAGTCTGATTTAGGTGTGACGCCTGCTGGTACCACTCTCGACGAGATGCTCCGATTAGTTGTCTTTTTGAATAATGTGAGCGCGGAGTACAAAACTGAGTTAGCTGAGTTTCCCGTTGAGTTAGTTGAGATTCTCAAGAAGTGTAAATTACCATCGAATGCGAAAGTGACGATAACGAAAGCACTTATTGGATTGAGAAGTAAAGGATTCTTGTCGTTGGATAAGGTCCTTCCTGTTTTACTGGAGATGTTGTGTACCAAAGACAAGAACGTGAAAGGAATTACGTACCGATTCATTATCAACGATATCAAGAACTCAACAAACAAGAAAGGGGGTGCAAAGAGTAAAGCCGAGACAATGCGACTCTTCGAACAGATCATCGACTCCAACGCTAATTCGAAAATTGTCAAAAAGATTGTCGAAATACTGAGCGAGTTGTTTGTCAAAAACGTGATGAAGACACAACGCGTTGTGAATATAATAGCCAATGCCATATTCCATTTGGATGCAAAGGTCAAAGTAAAGGCGTTGGAATTCTTTTTGAGACTCGACGAGAAACAAGAGGAACTCGACGACGATACGAAAAAGGACATTAAAGTTGCTGAAAAGGATTTGCGAGTGTTGACCAAGAAACTTGGGATCAAAAAGAAGACGGGGAAGCTTCGCACGATGAAGAAGGACGCGGAGGAGAATTTGAAGAAGTTGCGGAAGACCGAGATATTAGAGCATCAACCAAATTGGGGAGCTATCGATGCGTTGTATGATGGAAATGCATTCTGTGATAAGTTGTATAGAGATATTAAAGGAAGTCGAAATCGCTTTGAAATAAGACTGTTGGAACTCGACTTAATGTCGCGGATTATCGCAAGAAAGGAAGTCGTCTGTTTGCCGTTTTACACGTTCATTGTGAGATATTTGTATCCACGCCATGAACACATCACAAAACTCTTAGCATTCACCGCCCAATCGATTCACAGTTTAATTCCTCCCGATGTCGTCGAACCAATTGTGAGAACAATTTTGAATAACTTTGTGAGTGACAGAAGCAGGGTTGAAGCACAATCCCTTGGGTTGAATACTATTCGAGTTATTTGCGAGAGATGTCCACTTGTGATGAATAAAGGGATGTTGGCGGATCTTGCGGATTACAAGAAAAGTCACAACAAAGCTGTTGTCAGTGCGTCTCGGTCGATCATCGAGTTGTTCAAAACCCTGGACCCGGAGCTCTTGAGAAAGAAAGACAGAGGAAAACCCGGGAAAATCACGCCGAAGGGAATTATGCAGTTTGGAGAGGAGAAAGTCTATGAAGGACCTGTTGGTGCAGAGTTGCTTGAGAACGACGAGAACGGAGAAGAAGAAGAGAGTAGTGAGAATTCTGAGGGTTCGAATTCCAAAGAAATGGATGAAGAGAATAATGAAGCGAATGATGGCCAAGACAATGGGAGTGAAAGTGGCGAAAATGCAATGAGTGAAGACGATGTACCAAATTTGAGTGATGAATTTGAGGAGTGTAGTGATGACAGTGACGAGGAATTTGAAGAAGTTAGTAATGACGACAACGAAAGTGGAGAGAGTGAAAGCGAAGATAACGAAGCGGAAACAAAAGAAATGGAAGAAGAGAGTCCTGAAGAGAAGGTTGGTTCGTACGTGGGTGGTATTATCACACAAGAACAGCTTGAGGCTATCCGAAGGAAACAAGCCGAAGAAGAAGGCATCGACTCTTCAGAAGAGTATGAGGAGCGCGACAGGACCTTCGTTTCACCGGATTCAATAGCCCCAGATATCAAGAAAAAGATGACAAAAGCGGAAAGAATTAAAGTCCTCAAAGACTCGAAAGCCGAGAATGATAAGTTCAAAAGGGTGCGTGGAAAGACATCTAAAGTGCTTGCACGTAACAAACCGTTCTTCATGAAGTCGTTTGGGAAGAAAGATATGAAGAAAGAAGAGGAACGAATCACATCGGGGAAGACAACTCGAAGACCAAAGCAGTTTGCTGGAAAGATGAGAAAGAGATTTGGAAAGAATGCTAATAAACAGAAAAGTTTCAAATAAAAAAATGATTGGTTTTTTGACTTTGTTGTGGTTTTTACAGAATGATAAATTTATAAAGGAGTATTTTTTTAAATTAATTTTTAATTCAATTCTAATATTTTATTAGAATTGTAACAACTAAGATTCAAAAATAGTCAGTGGCAAAATCATCAATTTGGTAAACATCAAACTATTTGTATAATTAAATTTTACAATTTGTTATAACTTTTTTTATTATTTGGATATAATATGTTCTGATAAAATTGGCTTTGCAACAGAAAAATGTATGTTAATATTGTCTGGCTTGATTGGTTTATGACGAAAAAAACATACAATAAAGACACTTTATTTAAATAATATTATAAAGTTATTAATATTAATATTATTTTAAATAAAAAAAATTAAAAAATCTGCTGCTGAGAAGTTCAATTCAAACTTTTTTTGAGTGTTTTTTTTTGACTATTTTTGATTGGTGTAATTTAAAAAACAAAATTATATTTAATATTAAAGTTATTATTTACTATTAGTTTTATTTTTAAAAAGCAAAAAAAGGAGAAATGCAGAAACAAATGACAAAATGCATCGCAGACGCTTAACATATTAATTTTTATTATTATTTACTAAACTACATATCTAAAACCATGATTAAACCAAAATACGGGATTTTTCTCATAATTTTGAATCATAACCCGTTCAACAGAATTTACTGAAAGTAGACACAACAGAATTAATTCAATAATATTTATCTAAAATAAAAGTTAACACTGTATATATAAAAATTAATATATTATAATAATATTATAGTTTAAAACCTCCATAATAAAAAATAAAGTAAAGAAGAATAAAAATTGGTGAATGCAATTGGGATACGTTCTGGAGCAGATTGAAAAAAGGCTGTTGTCTTTTTGGTGTCTGTATGTTTTTTTACAACATAAAACGTCTGTTGAACTGGTCTGTCTCCAATGGAAGAGGAAGCTGTAGTCGACCAAACGGTCAACAGTATCTTTGTCTCATATTTCCACGAGAAACCGCTTG